TGGGCGTTTGGTTATAAAACACGAAAAGAGAGTGGCGGTTGCAACGTAACATTTTACGTAAGAATTTCAGTTAAAATGATTAAGGATTCCAAAAATACCAAAATATGCAAAATTTATTTATAACTGAGTTGTTTAGTAATAATTTAAGTTAATGTTCAAAACAGTTTATATCAATTTTTCTAAAAACACTATCGTTTCGAATTAGTTTTATGCCATTTGGCTGACCGACGTTCCCTTGAATGTCCTGAAAAACGAATTTCATTCAGTAAATTTTCAGCCTCTTTCGATAAAACTCTTGAGCGTACTGCCATCTTTGATTAGAGCCAGAAACGTTTGTTCTAAATTTCTTAATCTTTCCCTCAACTATTTCTAAACTATTTTTTAGTAAATTTTTTTAAAAAAATTTACGTGTCCTGTTTCTATTTCATTCGCTTTCCTTTAGTATTAATGACTTACCCCCCCCACTTTTTTTCTTCCAGTTTCTAGAATGTTAAAATATATTTTCCAAAAAATTTTGTAAATTACTTGTAACCTTTATCATATCTTGTTGTAAAATCAAAGAAATATTCACGTTTTAATGTTTTGTTTTTTCTTCTTATATCAGACAACTGATGATAACTAAGCCATAGAAAGCTGCTCTTATATTAAATACTATTGTTGGCAATGACAACGTCTATAATTATTTCATAGCGTTCGTTTGTTTGAATAGCCTCGTTGTACTAAGTCCACGGTTCCTGATATCAAGGAGAGACAGTCTGTCGAGATGACAGTGCAAGTGGAGAATTGCGATGGCGATCATTGTTTCTTTTGGTGTGTAATAAATTGACTAACAGTTTTGATTGTATCTCGTCTCCTTTAAAAAAAGTGTGCTTTAAAATAAATGCTTCCTTCAATGAAATTTAACTTTATAATTGACTCCACATACAACCGTCACTCATCCTCCTCCTCTTTCTCCAAAAGTACTTTCCCTCTCAACCTTGTTCTGTTCTTGCACACAACTAGGTGAAACCATTAAATACCATTAAAAACCATAAATAAAAAAAATCACACTAAAAGGACTATAGAAAATGCCAAGCCCATATACACAGCCATAATAATACCCCTAATGCTCTTTGCTTGTTCTGTCTGGATTAATGCAGCAAAATCCAAGACCCATATAATGCAGATCATACAAAATAAATTCCTGCGAACAATACCCAATGCACGTTACAAACAAACAGCTCCGTAAAGAAATTCAAATAAAACCTATCCTACATCACATCACTAAGTTAACCCATAATTTTTACAATAATATATCATCAATTAAACACCTATCCCAATAAAAACTAGGCAAAGCACCCATAAATGACACTAATAAAAATAATTTCCCAAACTTGTTTTTTAAATACAATTTGCAAATTTAGATGATTCTTTGTGAGGTGCTCAGTGGGTCTCCTTTCCCTACGAAATAATTGTAAATAAATAATAGTTTAGATTTTAAAATAGATAGTTAACATCAAGACATGTAAAAGGGTTGTATGTTAACTGAACCATCTATTACAATCAAAATAGTTATCATACAAAAAACAAACTTGGTGAACACAGTTCATTCCGACTTATCAGGTCTGAGATACTTTTCACTCACGTGGTTTGAGACATCATTAACTTCTTACTTGTTATTTTTTCTCATACTCTAACAGGTGGACATATGTTTCTTTTGATGTGTACTTAACTAGTTTTGTATATCTATTTGTTAAAAAGTTTGGACTTTCCTTTACAGATCTATGTAACCTTGAGAAGGTGACACAGCAGCAATTGTCGAAACGTGATTACTGTGCTTAATGTGCTTCAATAAATAAAACTCTATATAATGTATACAATAAACAGTTCTTTAGAAGATTATCTGTAATCAACTTAGGGACCTATTTTAAAAAAAGCAACAGACAGTTTACATTAATACAAAAATAAATTTAATAAAGATATAATTCTCTTGTTTTATACTTTTTTGTTTATGCGCTATCTAGTCGCCAGCGTTCTGTGTTGACCGAGTTCAGAAGCGTTTCTGTGTATTGAAATTATCTTATGAAATCATAATAAATCCTATAACAAACATCTTACCTGCTATATCATCGTTAATGTAGACATTGTAGGGTCATCACTCATACTTGTTGGTTGCAGTTGCTTAATCGTAGCCAGAAATGCATTTTGAGTTAATTGAGGTTACAATACGAAGTTCCGAATAGCACTAGGAAAGAAACAAGTCATCTCCCATGAAACTGCAAAAGATAAAACTTACGCTGGAATTTCCAAGGCCTTGTTGGATTCCCCCCAGCTCATTTCTGCATCGATGCGTGGTTTTCCTTAAGAGCATTTCGCGCAACAGGAAAGCCACACCAGTCACAAGAGGCCAGTGCATATATAATTTCGAAGCATGTAAATTATCAGGTGGAAAACCGATTCAAATTCTTTTTATATCCAAAGTTGTTATTTGTCTTTCAAAATCCAAGCGATTTATTGCCCGTATTACAATTTTTACGAAATTTACCGTATTTTCCCCTTATCGTTATTATTTTTCCAATAAAATTAGAAACAAAGAGAAAATTTATTAATAAAACAAGTTGACTTATAATACTTGATCTTTTAATACCATTTCTTATTTTCAGAATATTAAATTCGTAAGATGATACAGGAAGCAAATGGAAACTGTAATTTGAAATTCTTTATAAATATTCGTGTCGGAAACGCGAATAAAAGTGTTCTGGAACTAGTTCTCTGGGATGAATCTGAAAGTACCTTGAGAACAGAAAATAAGCATTTGAAATACTTTTTGCCTTGGTAGTAATGCGTGAAATAAATGCATAAATTCTGCAACCGTTCTGTTCCGCAGACATCCATTTTCTACATTGGTGGTTGGTGCCTCAACAAACTGGAGGTTGCAGCCCCATCAAATGATGAAAATGTAATTTTGAAAATTCAGAAAGGTAATATCTAATAAATTGTAATTAATTAAAGTAAATTAATTAAAACGAAGTTTAATAAAAGTCTATAAAGAAACATTATTAACATAATGTTAGATGAATGGTCAGTGTCAGGTATATTCACCACGTGCGCACGTAGTTCTGGTTTGTGGGCACTCGGCTTTTTGTAGTTAGTTTTGCATTGAAAGGACGATAATTTTGAAAATACGATGATCGCATTCCAGCACTTTGCAACACGCATTGTTGTTTGGACACGTTTTTACACAAAATTATTGTTTCGAAAATGTTACTACCCTAGTATATTTTGCAATGAAAGTTCTTCAACTCATACACATTTTCACAACGCTCGCAGACCATAACCCGGGAAGATGCGCACACCTTGAGAGACAGAATAGGACTTTCTTCCAGGCAGCCAATTTTACATAAAGGACTCATTTAATGTATATTTTAAATCAACAAACCTAACATCAAATTAAAATAAATTCTCCAGACATCGTAAATAATGCTTTTAGTACCGCCAATAATTGACTGAACTCGTGTGCTTTAAATAACAAACAAAATTCATAAAATTAAATTGAAGCTAGTGTCAAAGACTGAAAATTGGTATCCGCTTCGTACTCGTACTACGGCGGCGGCGATAATGTAATGGTTAGCATATCAAACTGTTATACCCAAGTTGGCGGGTCCAAACCCGATCGACGCACAGAATTTTTAAGGGCGAACGCCTTAAACACCTTCGTACGCCTTCCTTCGGAGGGGAAGTAAAGCCGGCTGTCCCATGTTAGTAGATTTACTTGCATGTAAAAGATCCTCAATCCTAAATGACGCCTCTGAGCTAAATTCAAATCTCCTGTTTCTCGCCCAAGAAATACCTCCTTCCTCCGCTAGCTGGTGAAATGAGCACAGCGAAATTTGCGTGGTCAGACGGCAGAGCGGGCCTGTGGCAGAGCGGGAAAAGTTGTTTACAAGAAAATAAAAATTGTCTATATTTCACGAAAAATTTCGCGAAAATCCCTCAATTTTTTCCAAACAATTGTTCATGACCTTATTCTAAAATCTTTATTAAAAGATCTGATTTCAGTGAGGAAAAAATCTTTATCTTAAATAGTTTAGTTGTAGGAAGACACCGAAAAAATTAACGTTTCGAATTTTCCAAAAAGCAGGAATTTAAACAAAAAAGATATATGTACCATTCTCTAAAATGAATTTTTCGCTATCCGACAACAAAATGTACTACAAATGGTGACTTGTTCTAATACCAGTATAGGCAGCCGGTCAGAATAAGAGACTTGCCAAAGAGTAAGGCCAGAGATAAAAATGATTGTGGAAAAATATATGTAAAAACGGCGGTGACATATATTTGAAGAACTGATTTTGTCAGGCGAGAAGTCAGGATACGTTTCAAACGTATAAAAATCGTTTCAAAATGTGTCAAACTTGAGGCAGTGTATAGCAAACGTTTCCAAATAGATCCCAACAAGACCTACCTAAAGAGAAAGTTTCACCATAGATTCGAAATATATTTATGTGAATATTGAAATACGTTTCAAAAATTGAAAGTTCTGAAGAGAGGATGGTTGCTCAGAAGATACACAGTTTCGCGATTACTAGCAGTACCACGAAAATTACCTAGTGGTACCTGCTGCAAGACCTTAACATTAACTAGCAATTTTCTTATAAATCAATTTCGTTTAATTTCATTTTAGAACTGCTAGCTTGCAGAAAGGTTCACTCAGAATTATTACGAGTGTATTGTAATCTGTAGTGAAGGAAGTAATGCACAGCCATTTGTAGGCTTCGAACAATCCATTTGCTGAATGGGCATTTTGTGAAAGGAATCGAACACGTATCTTTTATTCTAAATTGCCCTAATGTCTCTAAAGGACATGTATTCGGCAGCAAAATGTGCTTAACGAAAAGATCGAAACAAAGGGAAAAGAAAATAAGTTCAGAAAGATTTTTGTCCTTTATTCTTACAATCGACGACGTCAAATTTTGGTATATTATTAACACAGCCTTTGGGAAGTTCTCCAGCAGCTTGCTATGTCGTCTCATATAATTCAAGGCTATGTTCTAGTCGTTATTTTCGCAGTAAGTAATTTTCATTGTTTCATTATTTATTTTCCATTAATACAGACCTGCATTATGGAAAAACGTGTCTATAATGAATTGTTACATATATACCGGACGTGATATATCCATAGAGAAAATTTTCAAATCAAATTAGTGTCATGATGAGGTAACCAAATTTATTCATTTTAATACTTACCGTTCATAACAAAATCGTTAAAACAATAAGAGATATATTCATTAAAATGATCATGAATACATTTTTATAAATTTGGTTGAATCGTTCTTGCTTTTATTAACATAATTTCTATAGACAAAAATCAATTTACATAACAAGTTCAGTACCACAATTGTATTGTCGAGGGAGAATGAGGCCAAGGATAGGGCTTGAGAACGGTAGCGTGAGAGACATGATTCTTCCGGATGATTAAACCTCAATAAAATCCCACATCATTCAAAATATTTATTTTTAAACAATTCGATAAATTTATTTTTAAAATATTTCTTTATGCCTCTCCTCCAACACGAGCTATTCATGATTATCAATGACTTCATGGAACAACCGAGGGGAGCATTCTTGCAAAACGGAAGGAGACTTTAAACGCAGAATATCTACGTAGATTTGTGCAACATCTCTCACAAAAACACAATAATCACGTTTTAATGAAGGGGCCAAAACCTTTGTTATACAGAGTTACCGATCGACTTGGGCGACCTAGAATTCTAAACTCGACAGTAGTAGGATTTTCGACACTAGCTAGCGAGCTCTGTCGAATTCAACCGCTGTCTGAACGAGAGGTCTAGCATGCGGTTGCTCTGATCCGTAGTGTTCTATTGTTTTTCCGAACAACAACAGGCGAATGCAGGAGCAGTACAATCACAAACGGGCCAAGGCGCGATTTTTTCTTCCTCTTCCTTGTGCTATCCTCACTTCTTTCTTTCACACACACTTACCCACACTACCATACATGTCCGGAGACCATTTGGGAGATTCGGGCTTGCTACGACTGGACGGTGCTCCGGTGGTGGGAAACACCTGGATGGGGAAACTTGGCTAACAGACGTGGAGGGCAGCGCAGGATCTCGCCATTAAGCGAGGGAAGGTCACCATTAACTCCCGTGATAAAACATATGCACTAGACTTACGAGACTATTGACCTTGGCAGTTGACGCGCCCGGAAACATACCAATCAATCCAGAGATATCGAAGATTGATCTTCCTAGACCGTTGTCGGCGTAGCCTCCTTGACGGGCAGCGTATCCCCCTCACGCTCGGAAATATCAATCACTCAATCCAGTGTTATCGAAGATTGATCTTCCTAGACCGTTGTCAGCGTAGCCTCCTTGCCGGTAAGCGTATCCTCCTCACGCTCGGAAATATCAACCAATCAATCCAGTGTTATCGAAGCATTCCCCTTCCTAGGCCACAGGCAGCGTAGCCTCCTCCCCGGCCAGCAGCCGCGTGCGTCTGGGCATGCCGTTTTTCGAAGGCGCCTCGCTCACTTTCTGCCCGGACTGGTGGGGCAACAGCAGCTACCCGTGGTTGACTCGAGGCCGGGACGCCGAAGCCATTCGCATCATCGCAGCTCACTCTCACCACCAGCACGGCTGCGTGGATGTGGGCCAAATCATCAAGGGTACGGGTGGTGATGCTTGCGCCACATGTAATGATCGCCAGTTTCACGAAACCCTGTTAAGAAACCCACCGCCTGGCCGTCCGCACACAGCGAGACTGTGCGGCTAGTAGCGGCCCGGTAGGGGTGTGCGATAAAATCGAGTAATTGTTAAGAAAATGCATTATTTTAAATGCTTCACCAAAAATTCGATCGATTATGGGAAATCATTTGATGTGAATCTCGATTAAATTTGTGGTGTTTTGTAACGATTATTAAATATTTTGATAATAAATTGTTTTATGTATTCCCATTTCATTTTAAACAGCTGACTTCAAGTGAGTATTGTCGATTAAATAAATATTATTTGGTTTTGAAAGTAAAAATGGAGCTTTCAGATACTTCATTTTCAGTTTTATGTGATTTAGCGATAATATTTCAAATAAATTCCCCCAAAAAGGAATCTAGCTTGGAAATTAAACGTTTTCAACAGAGAACGAATTCTTGGAAGTTTCTATCTTATTAAATAGCCTATCTCTCAAATTTACTACGAAACTGTACTATATTGTTTATGTTACGTATGCAACATGTGGCAAAAACCCAAACAACTTAGTATATTCATGGCATCCATGAATCCACCTCTTGCAAAAACCCTGTTGGGGAAAAAATTGCATTTTAAAAGAAGATGATTTGGTAACCGCTGCCATTCGTAACCACAGGAATCACGTCTCCGGATCCGTATGAGCTGCTGGACCGGCAGCTCGTGGACCTGTACGGGGCGGCCTTGCCGTGGAGGCGAGGGAATGGCTCGGGCGTGGCCTACCTGTACCCGCACGCACGCGACGACCTGTGCATCAGAGGTCGCCGGGCAGAGTTCGTCCAAAGGAGCATTTTCGAGGCGTTTCGCCTCGACTTGTGGCTGGCCACTTTGGGATTCCAGATCGTTCTTGCCTCAATAATGCGGTAATTGTTGTGCAATAGACTTGCGATAATCCGAGTTACAGTTAACTTGCTGTAAACAATGCATTAAAATATCGGAATATATTAGTGTATACGATAGTTGCTGCAGTAATAGTGATACAGCGTGTTTGCTGAGAGATGTCGCTACTGATTCTATTTATTTAGGAATTTTGGGACTTCCCCGTATTCGGTAATCAACAACTTCGCTCGATAATTGTATACTTAGTATGTTGTACAGTTATCAACGTCATTATGCCGAAATGTTGCACATAACTGCCGTTGTTGAAGGTTGGTGAAGGTTATTACTAAAATGGTAAAGGTTTTGAGTTGATTCATTTTGAGCTGACTATAACCAACGAATTCCGTAATTTGTAAAATCAACTGTTTGTTGTTCAATATTTTTCTTAATCTTACCTTTTTCACTTTCTTATAAATAAGTACCAATTATATACACATAATTTTTTTACGATCCTTTAGCATATAAACTCCAGATTTGCCTACTCTTTTATCCGGGGTAGATTGTATTACCCCGGACAACTACGAGTTTCTTGTATATGAATTTATTATGCAGTACACAGATATTTAATACTGGTGGCTTATTACGCCATCACATTTATTCATTATTATTTTGGTTCATTTTATTTTTCATTATTTATTTGGTTTTCAAATAACTATGAATTTGAAAGTTGATTGAATTGTTTTATTTGACTTAGTCTCACAAGTGATACTTGAAATGTTTTGTTGCGGTTACTAGAACTGTTTCCGCAAACGCTGTATCCGTTTCATTTTTCTTTTCCTGACTTAAAAACATTCAGGTGGGCTGCGTGCTCAAATCAATAGAATACTCCTACTACTACTAGCAAACTAACTATATACCACATTATTTTTGTGATGTACAACATTATTTATTTAGAGAGTGAAACCAAATTTCAGTATTCGCATTTCAGTAACAACAACTTACACATTTCAGCATTTTTTTTAGTATTCTTCATTCTTACAAAGTGGGTTTTCTTTTCAGCGATACTTATTAACATGATTATCAATTTGACTTACCAAACACTTAAGTTACTGGAAGGTTTTGAGTTCAAAAACAAGGGCAGAAGCGAAACACATTTGAGCAAAATTACAAAAAAACATTTAATTAGTTTCGTTGGGAATCTTGTGAAATTTTATGATATAGGAAAAGAGAATGAAATAATTCTCCACAAAGTAAATAGTATATTTGTTCAATGCCCATGTGTTTTAAGCATTATTAACTTATCTTCAGTACATTTTTACAAAGAAGTAATGCATTACAAAAAAATGCATGGAATTTAATTTTTCGGCGTTTCTTTGCTGTAAAAACGCTGAAAATATCGTAATTTGTGTATGAAGGCCTTCAAAAGTTATGTTATTGAACACAGATGATGTTGGGTTGAGATTAAGCTTGAAAAAATGAGTTCGCGGACAAAGTGCGTAACGTACTTGTTTTTACACACTTCTGCGTGACACATTTATTTACTTTGGAATTTACTTCATAATGAAAGAATTTTTCTAATAGCATTTACAAGCCATGGTATCTTCATCTAAAAGTTCCCAAACTGAAACAAAAGAAGGGAATTCAGCTGTCATATCCACTGGAGGCGCCAACGCAGTAGGTGCAAAAAACGGTGTTTAGGTTGCAGCGTAACTAATTCTTAGTTTCATATAGTGTCAGCATTTGTGTATTCGAACACTTGCTCCTTCGGCCTAGTTCGACAAATTGTCAGCGTTACTCTAAAATGTGAAGCGTTTCTTCTATATAAAAGGAACGTGAAATCTAACTCCAGATTTGATTGGTCAATTGTACTTTCAGCAATTAGTTTATAATGTTAAGCTTTATTGCATGAGTACATGTTTTGAAAACGAATGACTTTAGGAGCGAGTTTTCAAATTTGTACGAATATAATAAAGCATCATTACAAACGAGTTGCATACTATATTTTTCTTGTATAACAGCATTATACATTTATAAGAGAATCAAACTTAATTTTGCGAAACAATTTTCCTGTGACGACTCGGGTACTTGACATCGTGTGAGTAAACGGTGGTCAGCTGTTCCGTTTAGCTCTACCTACCCCCGATTCTCTCGCTACGGTTGGCTAAATGTGTGATGACGCAATCATTCGTGACATAAAATCTAATACGTCTTTATTTGTGCCGTAAAATGCCCGATTATGAACGATTTCTTGCAAGAGAAAAGGTTATTTTATAATGCTGGAATACAAAAAAATATATAATTTTATTATGGAAGATTATTTTATTTTCCTTTCTTTAAGTAAGAATGATATTCGACAAAAAACACTCGTTATTTCTCGCCAGAAATAATTCGCCGCACATTGGCCATCTCTGCTTTAGGTTTGTGTGCAAGCTGAGCTTCGGGCACGCGGCCCTCTTGGTCACGGAAACCTTCCTCACGGGCTCTTTCTGCCGACGCCACCGCTGGCTGAGGGTGTTCGGGGCCGTGTTCAGCCTCGTCGTCCTCAACAGCTTCTCCGGGGTCTTCACCAGCTTCCTCGCCGCCCCCAAGCGAGGGCCCGAGATCGAGACCCTGAAAGAGGCGGACGCCGCCTACCGACGCATCTACGCCCGCGGCCACATCCAAGGCACCTTCAAGTCCTTCATGGGCTCCCAAGACGATCTGCTCCGGATCGGGGCGAAGCTCTCGGGCGGGACGTTTGATTGGGATTTAATAGAAGAGTTGAAAGCTGGCACAAGCGCCTTTATGGATACAGACATAGCTTTTGAAGGTTTAATACGGGAGGTATTTCCACAATTTTTGACAGCGGGGAAAAAATTACCGTTGCTTCGAAAAATCCCTGAGTGTGTCTTTTCGCCAGGGTACGTGTCTTTTCCCGTTCGTAAAGACTGGAAATACACAGGTAGATACGATGCCTTATTGCAAAGGTTGGTTGCATCTGGGATCATAGACAAAATTACACAGGATGGGCTAAAAAACACGACCATGAAACAAACTGAATTCTTGAATTATGCGAATGACGCTTATAAGTTTTCGGTTGAAAAACTAACTCTTGACCACTTTCGGGAAGCGTTCCTCATCCTAGGAATTGGCTTGAGTCTTGCTACAATCTCTTTCGTAATTGAAGCTTACACTAATTAACTCGAGAAACATTACATAGAATGAAAAGTAATACATTCATCTTCAGAACTCAGTTTAATGTGATGGTAGAATCAGTACTTTATGTGAAAATACTCCTAAATGGAGGTTGTATGTTTCTGCCAAATTAGGATATTCATGTATTCAGTATCTAACAAAGTACTTTGTCACCTAATTTCAGAATCAACAGCATCTCATAAAAAAGCTTGTCATAATCGACTCTGTTCTACATGAATACTTTACCCTCATATACGAGTAGCAGCTGATTTAAATTACTCCTTTAATTTGAGAAACAAGTAAAATTCACTTTTCTGCATCTTTGTTTCTTTTGTATTTGGGATTTACACAAGCAAAAAGACAAATTAAAAGACTATTCTGAACTACCTAAAAACTACAATATTATAGGTAAATAATCTGAATTACGGTATGTTGTTGGATTAGTATTTTGCGGTATATTTTGTTTTTGCATGGAATTGAATTCAATATAAAGAATGTTACTTTTCATAAAATTATATACTATTATTTTGTACCTGTTGGAAATTTTTCAATAAAAATCAACAATGTGTCATGAACAAATATTTATTTTTCTGCTTCATTGTCAAATGGTCTGAAATTGAAAAATAGTTATCGTAGTTTTCTTGTGTTGATTGCTCTATTGTTACTCTAATAAAATACTTTAATTTTGTGCTAATAGTCTTTATATGTATGTACATATATGGCATTTTAGTGTCGGATTAATCAGTATTTTGTCAGCTAGCGCTTTTTTCAGGACAGAGCCCTATTTTTGTTCATTACCCATGGCGGGGGTAAGAGAGACGTATTCCCATCATTATATATCCTTGTCCTGCCAGAGATCTTTTTTTGTCGCACAGCTATAGAACGAGATGATAAAATTTGAAAGCTATATCTCTAGTTTTGTCCCGTCCAGGAATCGAAATCTGTAATGCACATGGAAATCTAGCACTCTGTCCATGAGCCACTTGAGGGGCTTCTTTATTTATTTGTTTTTTTTTCCTTTGTGGTAAACCTCTGAATTTTAGACAGACAATTATATTATTATAATACCATGTTAACAATCCTATACATTCATTTACAACGTTTGGGACACATTGTGGCCCCCGTCATCGGGTATAAACAGTAATACGTAAAAATACACTTAAAATAACAAAAAGGTCGATAGTACAATTTGGATGTGTTAAATGTACAATAATAATAAACAAATTTTGAAATAAAATACGTTAAGTTGAATGACAACTGATAATGGACGGCACAAACTTACCGTTTATTAAGATTCCATCTCACAACACATATTCACAATGAAAATGTTCATATTAAACTGTTCGTCTAACACAGTAGCCAACTGTACCTTGTAGGAAGAGATCTAGTGAGGAACTCATGGGGAAACATTTTTCGTAGTTGATAAAGGGTGGAGGTAAAATTATGGAACCAACTAGCAAAGTAATTTATATTTTCTATATGTAAAATTGGTAATTTATATTTTCCAGATACTGCAAAATACTATTTTATGTATTGTTGATGGCATTAAATCCTTTTACAGTATTTAATGTCTGATTAGTTTTAATATGAAGCGATTCTCTTTTTACTTATATTTATTATAAACAATATCAGCAATGCTGAGATGCCCTTGTTTTGCTTCCGGACGTAAATGTGCTTTCATTATGCGCACGTTTTGTTCAACTCTCCATTTGCTTGTAGTGATAGGAGTAGAGGTAAGGGCGAGTTAGTATTTTGTTAGCAATGCAGAAAAATCAAATCTGTATTTCGTTTACCGTTGCAAATAAGTTTTCTATAACTCGGGGGCGAAAATGTCTAATCCGTTTTCAAATTTTGCAAATCTCGCGATTTTTAAATTTTATTTTTAATTATTTATTTATCTTTAACTTTTACTCATTCCTCAACTCTTTATAGTTAAAATGATGGGTAGGGATTCTGAAACTCAAGAAAATGGGCGCAGATGATATTCTCCCCCATATATCACACACAGTTTTTACTGATTTTTGACTAAATAAATCTAAATCTATCTCCAAGTGTCGGAATGAACATCCTTATTTCTCATCAAAACCGATGCAAATAAGTTTTCTATAACTTAGAATCAAAAATGACTATTTTTCAAATATCGCTAATCTTGCGATTTTTAAAATTTATTTTTATTTGTTTATGTTAAACTTTTACTCATCTTTCAACTCTTTATAGTTAAAATGACGGGAAGGGATTATGGAACTCAAGAAAACGTGCACAGATAATATTTCCCCCTCTACGTCACATACAGTTTTTACAGTTTTTTTGACTGAATAATCCTCAATAAATCTGAACTCGTTACAAAGAATAAACAGAGCGGCGCCAGGGACACGCCGCGACGCTTTTCCTCTCGACGGCATCAGCAACAGACGGGCGAAATGAAATCCCTGCACTACAAACAGCAGGGCTGTCCATAAGCAGATTGTTTTCAATCCAGGAAATTGAGAGCGAAGAATAGGAAGCATAGGTGACTTAGGGATGAGTATTAGTAAGTTGATCTGTCAATAAATAACTATTGAAAGTGAGTAATAGCGAGAATGGTGTAGAGAATTCCTGAGATATACGATATATGTAATTCGCTAAATTTTTCCTTTGCTAATTCATGGTATCAACAATTTTTTGTTATTTGAACAGAAAGCATCCATTAAAGAAACGAAAGTATTGAGAAATACAATGAGTAATGAGTAAGAAGCAATTTAGCTGATGAGTAAGAAGCTAATTACACTGGTCTGTAAAAAAACTTTTAAGTTTGGTGGTTCTTTACATGAATCCCCTGGGACATTTTCAAAATTTTCACATAAACGACAAAAGAAAAAAATTGGAGCCGTTTTTAAGAAAATGTTAAAAATGTCCGGGGGACTTCATGTAATGTACCCCCAAATTTTGAAGAAGGTTTTTCAAAATCGCGACGCCTCGAGTGGAGCTAAATCGGCTGGGGATTATCCATTTTAGAAAAAATCGTACGTGCGGTTTAGGCGCTAATAGTGTTCACAGACTGACGGACGGACGAACGGACAAACGGACGAACGGACGTTTTGCCGTCAATCGATTTTTCGGTATCAAGGATCCACAAACAGGGATTCTGACTACACCACGTGTTAGAGGATTTTTTCTTAATTTGGAATTATCCACGTTTTCGTTACCAGATGGATGCAATGAATTCTTTTTGCCGAAAATCCGCCGTTTTTTCGCGTAGCATTACATGTATTTCTCTATACTACATATATTACTCCCTATGTACTACATTGTGAAACTTTTGGATGGTTCTGATGTGTATCATCGTAAAGCAGTGCCAAAACTGTGTTTTCCTTGATGCCAAAGTAAAGTATAAATCTAAATTCATTTTTAGAATGCATTTGCATTTGAAGAAAACATAAAAATCTTCAGACTTTCATTGTACACTATCAGACATCAAGCATACTGCACTATACCAATAAAAACAAGTTGAAAAGCCTAATTTTTGCTTCATCCATGATGATGATGATGATGATAATATATTAAATCCCTCATGATTGTTAAAAATATACATGTAATTATATGTATACTGACTAAAGAAACCTCATGTCATGTTTACTGTTTACTTTCCAGAATGATTTCTTTCAATTTTACCCAGTTTTTTAATGACAGACATAATTACTATAATTTTGCCATTTCTTTCACTCTTCTGTTTTTGGGATGATACATTACAAAATTTGCAATTTTTTTAAAAAACTGTTCATTTAGTGAATGTCTGTTTTTAAAACAGCTGGACAAAATCAAATTTAATTTAAACGTATTTGATAGCCGAATCTACATTTAAATTAATTTAATAAATTAAAATTATGATACCTCAAAATCTTTCAAATTTCCTCTATTAGTGTTTCTTTAGCAATAATTTGCAATATTTTTTCACAGAAATAGTTCCATCAAAAATTACTCCAAGACTTATAAAGTTATCCATTTTATGGCTAAAAAGCATGACAATATCATTGTTTCATTGCATTCAATATTGTAGTTGAATTTATACAAGCATGTAATTGATATGGCTGCACTTAGGCCCTGTGATTTGGAATCAAATATTTTAATTTTTAAAAATATTGTACATGATGCCTAGAAGATATTTTTGAAATTTTCTCCAAAATGGTCCCCAAATTCTCTATGATATTTTTGTCCAAATAAAAGAAAGTATTAATAAGAAAATGGTGCAGATCCAATTTTTGTTGAAATGCCAGAATTTTCAAAAACAAAAATATTTTAAATTTTTAACCCCCCCCCCCCCAGCAAACACTAATGAAGAGAGAATTTTTTTCATAATGAAATATTTTCTTCCAATTAGATTTTTAAATAATTACATGCATATGTTTTTGAAAATATAAGTAATTCTTGAGTAATTTTTTATATAAAAAATATTTTCTACTTAAACAAAGCAATACTCACTTAATGAAATGGCATAGGCAATTTTCATAAATCATCTAACAATCAAAAAATTGTAAAAGTTCAAGTATCTTTTTGACGTGTTATTAGTATTTGTATAACAAGTCAGCCAGCTGAGGGTGTAAATTCATTGCTAACAAAATGTAAGAAACTGGGTGATATCACATACCAAGCAAATTGTATAGTGTGCTCAAGAACTATAGTATTTAGAAACCATTACGAATAAAGCAAGAAAATGTGATATATTGTAACACAACTATATGTTTTTACTTATGGAAATGAATGTCGCAGAAATTTATGAAATGACCAAGTAGACCGTGGGTTCAGTAAGAAACTCAGTTTTGAACTTCAAAACTTGACATTTTAAGATTTGTACATCGACTGATAACAAATTCGTTTGTCTACTTGGTAACAAAGGTCTAACTCAGTTTCTATCAGTTGTGTAGAAAATACAATTCATTACTTTGTATTTAATTTAAAACAATAATTTTGCCTAAGAAGAAAAGTTTGACAGTTTAAAATAAAACACAAATATGTTCCCTATGTCACAATTTTTAATTGTCAATTAAAAATCAGAATCAAACAACTAAGAAAGAGGATGACATACATTTTCATGATAGTACTGAAAAAAATAGTCAAATTAAGAAAAATGTTTTTTTTAAATAGAGATAAAACTTAATGCATTTCTTTAATTTTGTTTGTTTGGTGACTAACAGATGTATCTCAGTAATTAATAATGTTATTAATGATTTTGTCTTTGTTGAAAAAATTCCTGAAACATGCTTCAATAAAAATATTATGTTCTTAAAGGAAAAATAAATTTGCTTTTATCCACATGTGGAATTTCAGAAATTTTCTGTTTAAAATATGTTATTTGTGTCTCATGAAAACTTTAATATTTATATTCATTTTCACTTCCCACTAAGCCCTTGAAATGAATGTTGGAAATCAATTGATTTTGTTGAGAATAAATAGAACTTTGTTTTCATAGGTTGGTAATATCACCCCCCCCCTTGCTTTGTATTCTTTGATAATCTCACCAGTCAGTTTCTTGCCTTCTTGCATGTCAAGTGTAATGCAGTATGATGTTCCTTGTGACAGTGAATAGTAAAGCTACCCGTTGATAAATCGTGAGTCTTTGTTTCAAGCTGCCCTCCAGATCCATTACTTTCTGATTAGATTATTTGATTAATTTTAGTAAATAAAACCTCTCTTTGCATTTAAATCAATATTGGCAACAAAACAACATTAGTAGATGATTTATTCATTATTTTGTTTATTTCGTATTATTTTATTGAAAAAAAATGTTAAGCAATGAACATAACATTTCTATTATTTTGTACATATCAAAATGAAAATTATTTAAAAATAGAACCACTACATACAATACAACATTAAGACATCACACACATACAAACATTTTAAATATAATGAGTATGTAATAATGGAAAATTACAAAATAAGTTTTTTAATGTTTGACACAATGAAGACTAGTGAATGTGTTGTTCTCTAACAACAAGTATTTCCATTCCTTTCAAAAGTGCCTTTTTTCAGCTGCCTGGTTGGACAACACGTCCCATGAAGAGAGTGACGTTTTTGCGATGGATTAGAAACAGGAATGGGCGATCAGCCTTAACATATCTACGTGCAAAGCTGGTTCGTAAAAAGAAATTCTGACCTGAAAATGAAATATTTTTTAAAATTAGTCATGTTGCAAAGTCACATACACACTTATGAAGTTTAGTTGTAAAAGGTTTTTTATTAAAAAAACAAAGTTGGCCAAGACACCAATTGAGTAATTATTTAAATAATAAAATGTGTATTATTATTATTATTATTATTATTATTATTATTATTACTACTATTTTTATTATTTTTATTATTATTTTTATTATTGTATTCCATTTTCACACAAATTATTGGTCGTACACAGCTACCACACAAATACAACACAAAAGCATGGTAACTGATTTGTTTTACCTTTACAACATTCTATAGTTAATATAATACAGTATAAAATATCAAACTTCAAATTACAATATAACAGCTAAATTTAAATCTTCAGAATCCCACATGTCTTCCCATGAACTTTCTGGCCATTGAGCACGTACTGATGATGACTGATTTTTCAAGAGCGATGATAATACTCTTGTTCATACCTAGGTCATATAAACGATCTGCTAAGAAGTTTTGGTTTGACTCCGGTTGCTGATAGGATAATTGGAATAGTTTTAACATCTACAAAGTGACACTATTCTCTCACTGCATATGCTTGCGCTTTGTATTTATCAATTTGTGTTGATTTGTTGTTGTTGTTGT